AGAAAATAATTAAAGTAGTGTACAAATTTTGGACCACTTGGCTTGGAAAAATTAATTGGGAATCTTTTGTAAGTTAAAAGTTGGACATTTTAATCATAGGCTAACCACATTTAATCCTCATTAAAGTCTCAATTCAGATAATATGGTCCATTTAAGGTGGATTTGGTGTGGAAGAAAATATTTTTTTAAAAATGTTGTTGTTTATTTAATTTTTTTAATTTATGTTTAGTTAGTTTAAAATGTTTGAAAAATATTTTTTGAATCAATTTATTTTTTTCAAATTTAAGAAAAGCAATTTTCCTTTCAAAATTGAGGAGAATATTTTTCCAAAAACTTCACATCATTCTTTCATTTTTTTTAAAAAACTTATCCATACCCCGTACCCGACACTCCTCATTCAGAAAAAATTATTTTTGAAAAAATATTTATCGGGTTAGGTCCTGTGTCAAATCTCAGGGTCAAATTTTGGAATGGTTATTAGGGTCTTGTCATAGTTTTGGTATCGGGGTCATGGCCTAGATCAATTATCGAGGTTGATTTTCAGATCAGAATTTCTTTTCCCATGAAGAATATTTTTTAGCCTCAATTATCGGTGTTAAATGGGCGGGTTGGGTTGAAATTAAAATATTACAATGAGTTGAATAGAAATTGGATTGGGTCATAACCCACCCAAGTTTACTTTGAGCTCAATGGATTGGGCTCAGGTGGGCAAAAAATTGGGTTGGGTCATTTGTAGCCCAATTTGACCCGATTAATCTCAATAATTTAACATATTGATATTTAACTTTTATATTCACAAATTGAATTTCCGCTCAATGATTTTTTGTTAAAAAGTAAAAAAATGGATAGATAAATCGTAAAAGATGTTAAATGTATAATAATTCATACTTTCAATATAGGTTCAAATCTTAATAAAAAGTTTTAAAACGAGTTGAAATTGGAGATTGAATTGGGCTCAATTAAGAAATCTCTTCAAATGGGTTAAGCTTGAACGAGTTGAAATTGAACCTAATTCTAATTATCTTAAGCCCAACCCTTCAAATTCTGGCCGGATTATCTCTGTATTAATGTACAACTTCTCTTATATTTGAATTGATTTTTCAATTTGTTTTACAAAATTTTTTGTTAAAATCATTTTCCCCTTTAATTTTGAGCTTGCTTACATTATGGATTTAGTGGATCGGGTAAAACCCTTAACCACTAACATTTTAACCCATAAATCATTTTAGAAAAATTCATGTTCATCTTTTCCAATTCTTTCGATTTACTTCTAACTTCAAAGATTTTTTTAAAAATTTTCTTGTAAATGTATATTTATGTAAGTTTTTTTAGCTCAGTAGGTATTCCGAAATCAAGACTAGCTTTGAGTTCTATAAGTGAATTTCACATTTTTTTTTGAATTTGTACGAGTAGATTGTTTGATACTTTTGTTCTCGGGAAACTATATGAACAGAAACGGGTTCAAATTTCTTTGTTGAAAGGTAAATTAGGTGCTAAATTGACCAAGTTTTAGAATTTTCTAATAAAAGACCTTGAGATAGATAGCTAGAACTTGATGATAGAGTATATAATAAAGAAATTCGCTTCGAGTAGTAAAGAACCAACTTTTGTTGTTGAGAAAAGCTCTCAACAGCCATTAATGGTGGTTTGGAGAAGAAGAAATGTGGTCTCTTTTCACTTTGATTTAACAATGCCATGTGTCAGTTTTCCATTGCTTTGGAGCTGCAATTTTACCCTTTCACGCGCTATTCTAATGTGAAAACACAATTGCCGTGAAAATGGATCAAAATGATGTATTTATTCTGAATTTTTAAATGGTTTCGTGGGGTACTAGGACTTCCGCAAACTTCTTTAAAAAATGGTCTAAGTTTGATGGGGGTTATTATGCAATTTCTCTTAGGATTACGACAAGATGAGAGTCAACAAAAAGATCAAAGCAATTAGTTTCACTTAACAATATCTATAGCCTAACATAGTGAGTAGTGACTCATTATTTTTCTAGTTTGTTGTGTTTAAGCAATCTGTTGATATTATTGTTCCTTTTCTGAATGCTCTATATTGTTTTACAATTAGCTGTCTTGTTTTTTACACTATCATTTTTCATTTTAATTACTAATTCAATTTTCTACACTCGAGCTAAGGATCCTTCGAAAACAGTCTATCCACCTCCACATGGAGGTACGAGTAAGGTTTGTTAACAATCTATCTACCCAACTCTTACTTGTGTGTTTCATCGGATATGTTGTTATATAGTGACTCAATGCACATAATCTTGAAAACTTTTAAGACTTTGCGACACCTCGATCCTAAATAAGTCAGACTAACAAAATAGTTAAAAGAGTAAGACATTTTCTGGGTTTAACTTTTGAATCAATGAATCTGATTACTAATATAGTTACCAAAAAAAAATGTACAGTTTTCTGGCAGTTAGATATAGAGAAAAATCATAACATCGATACAGTGATGTATGGATTTCTCAGCTAGGTAGACTAATACATGTTAGTAATAAGATACTTTTATTTAAATTTAACGTTAAACCCCTTCGAATTGGCTCGTCTTAGTGAGCCTCTAACGTTTTGTTCGTCCTTGTCCATTGACACAGGGGAATCAGGATTAGATGAAGCAGCATTCCAAGAATCAAGATTAGAAGATGGACATTTCAGAATCCCTTTCAAATGCTTTTTTAGTAGACAGACGCCTTCTTTGTTCGAATCATCATTTGGAGTAACCTCATTAGCTTCGACAGATATATGATTTGTGTCATCATCTGTACTAGGCTCTTTAGATTTGTCATGAGTAGAACCATCGCCTAATTGTTCCTCAGTAACTTTGGCTCGGACAAAGTCATCATCGTAATCCTCTTCACCACCTCTAACGCGAGGAGAAACATCTTCTAAGTTAACCTTACTACATTTTACTGGGACATGATGATCACCATTGGCACGTTCTATACCAGCCCATACACTTGCATAATCATCACAGAAGGTATCCTCTGTAACTTTGGCATGAATTAAGTCGTAACTAACAGCAGCGTCTTCATGTTCAGGTGCAGCATGAACTATGTTGGTGAGAAAAAGATCTTTGTCATTTGTTGTCCGAACAAGATCATATGTATCCGTTGTTTGAACAGATTGAAACTTGTCTCCCTTTTTGGCTTTAGGCAATTTGAACCATCCTTCTAAAGGGAGAGACAGATTCTTTAGAAATGAGGACTTCTTTGGAGCTTCTGCTAATTTTTTCTTGTCCTTTGTGGTGAAGAATGTTATGGCAATCACGGTGGATATGAAAAGCTGACAGATTGCACATTTGATCTGCTCATGTCTCTCGAAAGACGAAGCCTGTGTAAGGCCAATCATTTTCTTGATCCCAAGAACTTTGCGCGCCAAATCTCCTAGCTCATATCTCTTGTACTTTGAGTCATTGAAAAACTTGGCAGCCAGGTAGCCTACATCAACTTTATCTTTAGTCAAGCCTAATTCTTTAAATGGGAACATATCTTTCTTTTCTGGGATAGCAAAACCAACGAAATGAATCCTCTTGTCTGTAAGAAATTTGAGGAACGGATTAGGTAATTGTTCCCCAGAATGAAATCTGAGGATCAGACAACCTACTCCAAAGCACAAAAGAACCAAGATTATCTTAGGATCACGAGGGTGGCGCATGACATCAATGCCAACAATAGGTGGTTGTGCCCAAGTCTTACCGTCTGGGAATAGAATATCAGCTGTGAATAAAGATTCAAACTCTTTTGCCTTAAAGGTTATACCTTCTAATTTAACCTCAAATCTATTGGTTTTCAGGTACACGATTCCTGCCATATTATTTATCCGATGAATGATAAGACTCTAAAATACTGCTTGCATGAGCTGATGGGACCAAGAATAGAAAAAATCAAGATGAATCTCACAAGAGATGCAGGAAAAATGAAAATTCTTTAAACCATAATGATTTTTTGCGCAAATATTGCAACGCAATGAATGATGAAAACTAGCAAGATGGAAAAACTAATTGTGAGTCAATGGTATCCAAAACCACAAATTAAAAAGGGAGGAAAATAAGGGAAACTAGGGGTTCTTGAGAAACAAACCTGTGAAAATGGATGGTTCTAGACTAAAGTTGTTACATTTGACAGGTTTGTGTTTGTCAATTTAGGAGATTTCACATCCACTTAAATTAGGAATTTCTCCATGGAAGTTATCTCAAAAATTTGAGGATCTTTAAATGTATCAGTTCCACTAAAAAAGGAGATCAGTACTAAACTTGAACTCAAAGATAATTTTCTAAATTCACATCCACAAGGGTAAAGATTGGCCATTTACCATAATTTTCATCTTCTAGTTAACATCTTACACCACTAGAACAACATATCCTGTGTAATACCACAAGTTAGGTCTAGGAAGGCTAAAGTACTGAAGTATACACAGATCTGCCCATAACTTGGAAGGTAAAGCAGTTGTTTTTTGATAGACATTCGGCTCAAGGGTAAGCATAACAAACCAAATAAAATAGAAAGTTCCACAAAGCAAAGAAAGGAAAAACAAACTACAATGACACACTGTGGTAAACAGCGTACAAATAATTCAACAGCAGACATTGTACAAGCAAGAAAAAGATATACCAAAACATTCTAATGCTTCACACTGTACACACAGGCTTCAACATGGTGTTAAAAATGGTCATTTTCCATTACTTGAATAGCACACAATCATGTTTAACACTGGAATTAGCTTTGAAGCAGATGGACATAAATAGGTTGAAACAGGTTCAACTAATATTAGATGATAAATGCTGAGCTTTTGACTCTAGTGAAGCAAAATATTACTAGAACACACCCATGCTACCTATGAGTCATCCATGAAATTTTCACAAAGCATCATGACAATAAGAAATCTTTGAAACATCAGCATATTCATATTACTAACATCTAACAATTTCCTTAGCATTTTTCATTATTCAAAAAAACAAAAATCATGAAACATATATAAATTAAGACAGAGAGATAGTCAACTGAACACAATGAGTGATATTTCATTAGAATAGACTTGAAACATATTCAGAATTGAGAAAATTCCAAATCAAAACATAAAAGGTTCAAAACACAGAAAAACACCACCACTATATACTCAAATCACTACTACATTTTAAGCCCTTTCGCCCCTAATTCTCCTGGCAAGCTGAATATCTTTTGGCATAATGGTAACCCTCTTAGCATGAATTGCACAAAGGTTAGTATCCTCAAACAACCCAACGAGATACGCTTCAGCTGCTTCCTGTAGCGCAGCAACAGCAGAGCTCTGGAAACGGAGATCAGTCTTAAAATCCTGAGCAATCTCACGAACCAACCGCTGGAACGGAAGCTTCCTGATCAGAAGCTCAGTCGATTTCTGATACTTCCGGATCTCTCTCAGTGCCACGGTACCTGGTCTGAATCTGTGTGGCTTCTTCACTCCTCCGGTTGCCGGAGCAGATTTCCTAGCAGCTTTGGTCGCCAGTTGCTTCCTTGGAGCTTTGCCTCCAGTTGATTTACGGGCAGTTTGCTTTGTACGAGCCATCGATTAATCTCAAGTTTCAACTGATTTAGGGTTTATGATATGAGATTTTGATTTGAATAATTTGGGGAAAATGGAAGAGTATTTATAGAGCAAAATTTTGAAAAATTAAGCGGGAGAGAGGACATGGATCGATGACGTGGAAGAATCATGAGGAGATCCTGAGCGTTGGTTTTTAAAGGGTTTCATTGTGAAATCAACGGTTCTAATTGATTTGATAGAGCTGTGAGTTGCGGATCGGTGACGTGGTAATTATTGTGCTTCGTTGTTTTTGTTATTTGATCCAACGGTTCAGATTGATTTAAGAAGGGAATCATGGATCGATGACGTGGAAGGATCATTTTGGTCATAAATTTATTTTTTCTTATTAAAAGTTCTTTATTAAAAATAATGTTTGAGATAGAAAAATTATTTTTTCGTATTTCTTTAATGTTAAATTTCATGCACAAATTTCAATTTCTTTTTTGAGTGAAATCGTTATTTGATTATATACTCATATGATATTCGATATAATCAATATAACTTCGTTATTACTTGTCGTAGTCATCATTTACAATCATTATCATTAGTCACAATTATCAAACATTCACAATCACTATCGATAAGCTCACCATCGATCACAAATTCACAATTATTATCAGTTATCACCATCATTAGCTATCACTATCATCCATCACAATTAACAATTATCACCACTAACTACGTATATATACCACTATCGTTAATCATTATTATCATTCACCAATTACCTACTACACATAAGTAATTAAAATCGTTAACCCAACTGGATTTTCTCATCTCAATTCATCAATTGATGTCTGATTTGGCCATTAATGGCTTCACAACATTTCCACCCACAAAATACATGAGATATTTGATTCAATCCGTTTGAATAGATCTTTAAGGTATTTTTTTTATCACTTTTATTAAATCATATTGCACATCTATAATCTATTGATATACTGATTACTTTGAATTTTTTTTTATCGAACTAAATCATCATTTAAAACAATTTATGAAAATAATACATTTTCAAAAAGTATATAAACGTATTCTACAGTAACGTTGTAGGGTATCTATTTTATTTTCAAAAAATTTAAGAGTTATGTTCTGACGGCGTTGAGTTGAGAAATGTTATTGTGAGTAATGTTTATATTATTTTGAGTCACGTTTTACTACTAAAACGTTAATGTTTCTTAAGAATCCAATCCTGCAAATAAAGATATAGTATGTCACAAATGTGATTGTATATTTGGAGCGGACACATCTAATATACCTATATATAAAGTTCAATTGATTGGAGCTGACTTAGCGATAGATTTATAAAGGTCCAAGGTGTGTAACGGGACACTGCTTCGTTGGTCAAGTGTAACAATCCTTACCCAAAGGACGCGAGTCCGAACATTGGAAAAGATTGTGCCACAAGTCATAATCTTATCCAGAGATCTGACATTTATTAAATATCGTACCAACGAATAAGTTCACATATATGCTCTATTTTTTGGATGACTGGAACACCAATATCATTTACACTAGTTTTATAAAATTTTAGAAAAACATATATTGTTTCGACAAATTGCTTTAAGCAGGTTACCAAGTAGTAAGTTATCGAAAAATTGTCCAGAATCATATAAAAAAGACTCTTAAAGCTCCAACCGACCCATATAGGACATAAGAAAAACATTATAATTTATTTGATTTGTTACAATAAAGTTGACAATACATGAAAAATTACAAATACAAACAAATAGGGATGAAATTAAGAAGTTCAATAGTGTAAAATTGTAACATGACATTCAACTATTAGATCACGAGTAGTGGCATTGTACCAATAAGTTCTCGCCGTGACAGTACCTCGTGCTAGCCGGAAAACACCGGAGCCACCAACCACCGGCAACTCACGGTACTCGCGGGACACTCGGTTGTGTCCGAGGATACTGAGTGTGCTACCATTGTACTTACCTTGGGTGAACACAAAGTTAAAAGTCATAAGTAGTTCTCTATCTTCAAACGAGGTGAAGCCATACATTCCTTGAACTCGACCAATTACCTGATAAAAATTTAATTGAATAAATCTAAAAATATTAATAAGATATATAGTCATAAACGACAATAATCTGGTTCAGATCTCACTGTCATCCATTCTCTCTCTCTATACATATAAAAGAATGTTCATATGCTTGGCAATCAAAATGAATCAATCCACATGTGAACACAGGGGCAGAGCCAACATTCCCCTTTCAGTGGAAAATATTACTATACATGCATGGTTAAAATTATTATTTAGATGTATATAATAGATGTCGAATTCCATTCAACTAGTTCATATGTTACTCCTTCAAATTTTGAACATCCTTATTGAAAATTTAGGATCCACCACTGTGTAAACATGTTTCACTGTTAAAGGAAAAACGTTCAAATTTACCCTTATGTGGCCCTCCCTTTCACGATTGTCTAACTTGACTATGACATTTATCACGATGACGCCACATAGATAAAAAAAAAAAAGAATTCAAAATTTACCACTAAACAATCAATTTTGTTTATTTACCCTCTTACGATAATTTAAAGTATGTCTACACATTTGAAAAGATTCAGACATATCCTCATAGTTTAATCAAGTTTTTTTATGATAGAAAATCATGAATCGAAGGATTATATATATATATTTGAGATGAAAAATACTTATGTGCCAAAAGGTAAGCACTTTAATATTCTAAATAAAATGATTACAGACTTCAATTATTTACCTCGGAATTGATATTTGGTCCAATAGTCATTGGGTTGTCCATCATTCTCACTAACCCAAAAGATGTGGGAGATAAAGAGGTAATATTGGCTTGTGCTATCTGAATTGCTGATGGATTCTTTCCACTCACAATGTCATGGAAATAAAAGTGAAATTTGGTCATTTTTTCCTTTGCATGTGATAAATTCTTGAACCATTTTTCAACTCCTTTTGGGCTTAAATTAAGCCCAAGAATTGAAGGCAAATTAGCAATTGCAATTAACAAGCAAATCATAAACAAAAAATTCTTCATATTTTTGTTTTATTACATTCATATGAAACTAGTTAATAACTAACTTCATATATATACTTGCACAACACATAAAAGTTTAAGTTGATTTGGGAAAAAAAAAGGAAAAATTTGAGTTGACCTTGGGAAACTCATAAACAACTAAGTGTTGACCAAATAAAAAATATGACTTCCATGTGAGTGGTGACAACTATTCAGATCACGAATCCAAATTTTTTGGTTAAGGGTAAATCCCGTCGATTAGTGTATCACAATCTATGTTTGTAATAACCTACATATTTATTAATTGATTTTGGTGTTATACCTTTAATTTTTTTGATATTTTCTTTTTAAATGTCAGTTCAAAAGTCTAAAGTTGGATATAATTAATTAAGCTAAATTTAAAATGAGAATTGAAAGTCTAAAATTCAAGCTTTTTATAAAGCATAAATTTGATCAATTTTCAACTTTAGACTCGATATTTCGAACCTTGAGCTTAATTTCGAAATAGCTAAATTTTTGTTGATGCATAAATTTCGATTATATCTTAAATATCAATTCTTGAAATTACCATTTACGCAATTTCCCCCGTTACTTAAAAGGGGAAAAACCACACCACACAACAAATATAGACTTTAATATATTTATACCAAATGACAACATTTTAAATAAAAGTAATATGTTTTCACTTTTTTTTTCCAAATAAAAAAACAATCTTCACTCCTAATTACTCAAAAAAAATAACTTTTATTTTTTGCTTTCGAAAACAAAAACTATTTTTTATTATTAATTGACAGCAAAACACAACCAAAAACCTATTTTTATTTTGATTTTTCATATACTGTCTAATGTTCATATCGAAATTCATCAAAATTAAAATTATAAAATTTTCACATCTGAAAATAAAACGATACCTAACAAAGACAACTAACGGATCGAAACCTCTATTTATAATATTTCCTAGTTGAATCACTAATTTATTTTTTTTCGAATTTCCAGCTTTAGCCTGTTGTACACGCAGCATTTAGCTTATTCTTCAAGAAAATGTATCAGCCACCGGACTAGTCAAATTCCGGGGATGAAGGAAGAATAATACTATATAATATATATAAATATAAAATTCAGATCAAAGAATTTTATATTTTTTAGTGTTAAAATTAAGGTAGAGTTAATAAATTCCAAGTGATGGTCCTTCTATTATTGAAGTTAGGGACACTTGCTTTGAGAACTTTGAGTAAACCCATTGCTGTTAGGCTTAAGAAAGAAGCTGGGTTGCATCCCAAATTCCGTAATTTCATCATCAGCATTGCGCAGGTAATCTCCTTGACAAACCCTTTTAAGTAATAGTATTATGTAACAGTAGTAATAATATTAGTTTGTGATTCATGTTTTTTTTTTTTGGTTGAGTTGGTGATTGGATTGACTTGAGCTTTTATCGAAAATAATATATTGAGATAGGGGTAAATTATGAATATATTTTATCTTTCTCACACCTATTACGTGCGATTACGAGTTGTTGTTGGGTCGGCGACTGGATTGAGCCGAGGGTCTATGGAAAATAATCTTTTTTACCTCTTGAGAGGTAGGGGTAAAGTCGGCATTCGTTTCTCTTTCTTTAGACCCCCACTGTGTGGGACCACACTAGCTTTTGTTGTTGGGTTGAGTTGTGGATCTATTGGAAACAATCTATTGAGCTAGGGGTAAGCTACGCGTACATTTTATTTCTCAGACTCTGCCTACGTAGGACTACACTTAGTATATTGTTGTTGGATTGGTGATTGGATTGAGCTGAGAGTTTATTAGATACAAACTCTTTATCACAAGAGATTAAATTCTGCATATATTTATCTTTTCTAGACTCCACGGTATATTGTTGTTAGGTTGGTGATTGGATTGAGCTGAGGGTTATCAGTAACTTTCACTCGAGATAGAGGTAAAGTTTGCATATATTTATCTTTTCTAGACTCCAATATGTGGGACTACACTGGGTATATTGTTGGTTGGTGAATGGATTGAGCCGAGGGTCTATTAGAAATGACCTCTCTACCTGTGAGGTAGGGTAAGTTCTGCCTAGATTCTATCTTTTCCAGACCCCTTTGTTTGGGACTACACTGGGTATGTTGTTGTTATTGGGTAGGTGACTGGATTGAATCGAGGGTCTGTTAGAAATGGTATCTCTACCTGTGAGCTAGGGGTAAGGTCTTGCTTGATTCTATCTTTTCTAGAACCCATTCTGTGGGGCTACACCGGTATGTTGTTGTTGGGTCGGTGGCTGGATTGAGCTGAGAGTCTATCAGAAATTTCTCTCTACCTATGAGGTATGGGTGATGTCAGTCTACATTTTATCTTCCCAGACCTCATTGTGTGGGGCTAAACTGGTGTATTGGTGTTGTGTTGGTGATTGAATCCATCAAATACATGTAAACTTTAAACTAATTGGGTTGATTCTATGAATCATTTTAGGATTAGTCTCATTCTTTGGTCGATCTTGGGTCAATGTTCAAATAGAATGAGTTGGTTGATGTTTGTGTATTGATCTGAATTTATTCTGTCATATGATTCTTTTCTGGAATACAACAACAACATATCCAGTGTAATCTTACAAGTGAGTTTTGGAGAGAGTGGTGTGTGCTCAAACTATACCCTTATTTTGCGAAGGTAGAGAGTTGTTTCTGAAAGACCCTCAATTCAAATAAAGTAATTTTAAGCAACAAATGAAAAAAAAAGAAGAACATAACAATAGCAATTAGTCAATAACAAAACAATGCCATAAACGAAGCAAAAGAAAACAATATGATGATTAAAATAGAAAAATAAATAATAGGAGAGTGATTATAAAGCAAAGGGAACAACAAGTATGATAAGAGATTGTTGGTTTTAGAAGAATTGTGGAATTTTTTGTATACGGTTGATTTTGTCAAGTTATTGAATGAAAATACCGATCAAAAATAAAGAATTGTGGAATTTTGCTGTTTAAATGGTGAGAATTTATAGATTCTAGTTTTTTTCCAACTTGATATTCAATTATTTGTAGCAGAATTGTTGTGGAACTTTACCATCTTTTGTTGGTTCTGATCCACATTTAACTTTTCCAGAAGGTTGGATCATCTAAGAAGGTCAACTAAGAGGAAAAATTGTTCCCTGTCATTACCATCTCTCTGTTTAGCTATGAGTCTAGTTGCATCATGTAAAGTTTTTTTTTTCCTGAAGACGGTATAAATTCTGCTGTTTTTGTATTTGATAGTATGATAAGTAGACGATGTGCTAGTTTAAAGAGTGTATCCAATTCTAAAATGTGGGTGGCTGCTTTCCGCTGGAGCCATACATTGAGTATTGGTCTTAAATTAGTATGAACAGAAATGTATCACGTTCCGTCTTTCAAATGTTGGCAAGTCTCTTCTCAAGTATTCTAGTAGTATAGACATATAGAATTATTCGTCTCTGAAAGACTGCAAATCTTAATGCTCTGTTAGAAAGACTACCTGTTGTGTATAACATATTGGTAATTGACTCCTACTACTTTGTTCATACAAGGAAATGTACAAAGAAAATGTGATCTAGACACTGACAGGAATATACTGACATATTGATGACAAACTACAGTGACTAGCAAATGCAATGGTTAGACATCACAAGCATGATGGTCATTTTTTGAAAAATATTGTGTTCATTGATGCTTGTGGTATCTCCATTAAGGGATTTTATGTCTTGGAGATTTTGTTGCATGCACCTCACTTTTTTGGTTAATACTAGTTTGTATTACAGTTCATGAGTTTATCTAAAATTTGTTGTCTATGCAGTTCTTCTTGCAAGCAGTCCATTTTACGTGTTCTCTGTTCCTCTATGCTTCATGTGGTTATAGATGTAGCACACTTGCATCCCTCTCCGATGGTTCCTAGATATGTTTCAATACATTCCACATATTTCATTTCAGATGTGAATACTGAATACTCTAGTAGACTTCATTCTTTCAACGTTATGCTCCATTTCTGTTTTTACGTTGACTTGTTTAGAGTTTCTGCATATATAGATCATCTTTCATCACATACATTGCTCAATCCAGGCGAACCACCGAATTACAACAACCATGCAAAGACGGATATATAGCCATGCAACTGATGTTGGAATACGACCTTTGAATGAAGAGAAGGCAGTTCAAGCAGCTGTTGATCTTCTGGGAGAACTTTTTGTTTTCGCGGTATTGTTTGTTCTCGTACTTGATTTCGCAATAATGTCTGCTAGTTAGCTACCCTGATTCTTACCTATAACATATGTTAATTTTTGTGAAAGCGCAGACAAGCTATGCTAAGCAGTCGAATGATACAAATTTTACACATGTAAAACTTTATACTTTCTCCCTAGTTACCACAAAAAGAAAAAAGGAACATGTTATGTTCTCTCACTCAAATAAGTTACTCCCTCCATTTTTGGGGTAAAGAGGTTGTTTCCAATCGACCCTCAGCTCAAGAAAATTATTTTCAAGAAACGTATGAAAGAAAATGTAAGAGTAGAAAAGCTATGTTGAAAATACAAAGGCTTATAACTCTCATCTTCCATTGATGTGTTTGCGTTGCCTAGACCAATATGACTTCTAAATCTTGCTGTGCACAACTCCCTTAAAATTCATTCTTCCAAAAAGCGGCTGCTAGTAGAACAGAAGGCACAAAGAGCCACAAGAGAAGTACCACCTTGTTTAGGAAATTCTCGTATCTCAATATACATAGCAAAACTTTGTGCATGTGCACAAAATCTGATCTTTGATAATTTAAGAAATATTGCTTTGGGTGATTTGCTTCAGTGAGAATAAAGTCTCAGCTGCCTGTCATGGCAAATTGGCAGTACAGTTTTGAAGGCCAGAGTTGTCTATGCTATTTCATGCATGTGCCAATGTTTAGAATCTCTACATTGCTTTCTTGCAACATAATTTTCTTATTGATAAAGCTATTGAAAGGGCTTTTGACAGAGAACTCCTTTAATTCCAAGCTAGCATATGCAATAAACATTTGAAACTTCATTAAAATCTGATAGTGTAGTAGCCAAATACGTGTCAGAGGAGGAAGATAAGAGAAGGCGGGAAGTTTTTAGGGTTGGTTTTGGGTGTTTTTGAAATATTAACAGTTCAACAAATTATTCCATTCATTTACTTGCTTGCCCAAAAATATTTGTTCGATGATTGAACTAAGTTCTTGAAAAGAAAAAGCTCCAAGTCTTGACAAATTTTGGCTTGTACTTGCTGGCATAGTAAGAGTTGGTGCAAACATGCGAAGTAAGAATGCATATAATAGACCCCTTTGACTCTGCCCTTTTTGGGCCTTGCACATAGCAGGAGTTTAGTGTGTGCCATGATGCCTTCAGTGCTTGCTGCTACTAAATTGGATATTGTATTGTCTCACAATTTCTTAATTGGATGGTCAAGCAGTTTCTAAATGCTTTGGAGCTAATATGTCAATGGAAGGGGAGAATGCAATGGAAAATTTATTAGTCCAGCAGAGCTGGCGGAAGCTGCCATATTGAAAATCTATGGCTGTTTTAGCTGTTCATTAACAGTGTGATAGAGTAATTATGTTTAACTTAATGTCGATGCATGCTGCATGATGCATGATGCATTTCGTTATACTAATGCTGGGTCACTGGAACGTACAGATTATCTTATGCCTTGACGCACTTTGTGTACGTCACTTTCGGTATAATGACAAGCCATTAGGACTTCTTTTCTTGTATCTATTTATGTTCAGTGGCATCTACACATACACACATCAATGTCTATGTCTTGAATATCTTGAGACTTGTGGTCAACTTTAACCCTTGAAACATGACCTGCCGTTGCCATCTGCTGCCTGTGCATCTTCTAAGTAATGTTTGTGCAACTTTTACAATGTGCTGAATAGGTCGCAGGTGCTATTATTGTATTTGAGGTGCAAAGGAATTCTCGGGCAGAGGCTAAGAAGGAGGAACTTCGTAGGCAAGAAACGGAGGTAGTCCTATCATATTCTTCTAAGCGAACTCTTAAGTGTGCTTTATCTATTATCCAAGCTTGACTGTTTCACTTCATCTGAAAGTTCTAAAATCGTCCTCTTGATATTTCTCTTAGATATGTACTTAATCATCTCGTTTTGAAGTTTTTCCTTTTATATTCTATCTAAATCTGATTGCCTTGGATGACAACATGCATTAGTCTGTTGATTTGTCTTCCAAGTCTAAGTGGCAGGGTATTTTTGCACCACTTACCACTAGTAATGTCAAATTTTCAAAGTCAATCTCAGATAGATACACCATCTATTAGAGTAGTACATGCTATTTTATTTTTTTACTGCTGGTTCTAGATATCAGCATGGGGTTCCTAATTCAAAAAGTTTTTCTTCCTTTGCTGCTTATGCTTTTTATATCTGATGATCTCGTGAACTATGTTCATGTTACATTCCACCTAAGTGGAAATTTAGAAAGTCCTATATTTCATATAAGAATCTGCAAACCTTTATTCCTAGATATGTGTTCAAAAGTTATATCTTAGTTCAACGGGTGTTTTTCAGAAATTGAGACTACGAGATGAAGCACTGGAAAAGGAGATAATGAGCCTTCGAAGCAAAATTCAAGAGCTGGAACAGCTAGCTAGGGGAAAGGGACTTGCTGGTATGTTCAATTTAAGACTTCCTCATATTGGAGAAGGCAAGTCAGCAACACCAGCATGATTTGTTTGCTCAGTTTTGGCTACATAGGGATCATTTTTTTCTTTTCATTCTTTTGATCCAAGTCCTATTTGGCTCTTTTTTTTAAAAAAAACTCGGTCTAAGCTTCACCCCGCTCACTGTAAATAAAGTTGAATCTTGCATTATGAAAGTTTTTAAATGCTAAAGTTGGTGAAAGTAGCTTAGCGCCTTCGTTTTTGTGCCATGTTTTTCTTAATTTACATTCATCCACCCAACCTGATAGAAAAGTTGATGTCTGTTACGAAATACGCTTTAAGAAACTTATCATCTTCAACTAGCATCTGATGTTGATGCTAGTTAAAAGTATGTCTAGATGCCCCCTTATCTGCAGAAATCATTATAGATTGCAGATATATTAGTAGTGATCAAGAATTTGACTATCATGGAATCTTGAAGATGATAGTGGGGGTGTACCCTTTATGCCTTCCTTCCCTTGGTTCTTTCTCTTTTTATTATTCACACAACAACAAAACCCCTTTCTGCTGAATGGATCTGGATGCTTGCTCATAAAGGCTTAAAAAAGTGGCCAATCTTTCATCAACACATCATCACAAAGAGCCATATTCTTCACTTTGGTTCTTGATGAAAAAGTGTCAATGGGAATAGTTTTTCCCTTTTTCTCTTTTGTCTGTCGGAAACAACCTCTCTGCCAGTCAAGGTAAGGAGTAACATCTGCCTGTACATTACTTTCCTCAGTTCCTACTTACGGGATGGTTGCAGCTCTTCAAGATTGCCTTGGAAACAACTTGTCAACTTATTACCTGACTTATCGTTTATTGATTTGATCTAAACATCGAACGTTCGTTCGTTGGTAACTTTTTTTTTTCTACTCATCTGTTTTAGGAAGGGAATTGATATTCCCACAACATGAGTGAGAATCTCATTGTGAAATTGTAGTCCTCAAACTTCATATTGCTATTGGGAACAAGATTCTATTTTAGACAATGCAACTGTATTCCATCCACTATCTTTTGGTGTGGGGCTAGAAAATTACTTAATTGTTCGATTTATTCAGTAATTTTAGTTTAAATTATATATTTTTATCGAATAATTTATTTAATATGTATGATAAACGAATTCAAAAGTCAATTAGTGACACCTATACCAAAATTATAGAATCTATAAAATTTAAATTTTATCTTTATTGTAAAGAATCTCTCACTTGAGCCGGTCGGTAATTAACATTATTTTTAGTTGTAGAAATATGATAATGTAATATAATTTTTAAATGTATATATTTCATTTTTTATTTTACATTCTTTTGGAGTAAGAGAAAAAAAATGCTCCATTGTTTTTTCTAATCAAATAAATAAGGATGATAAAATAAATGGAAGGGATGGTGAGATTGTTAGTAATTGCTTTTAAATATTTTTACATTTTAAGCTTGTGTAAGTAAATTATATAAAAAAAAGTAATTGAAAATAATTCACGACTTCAATCACGAATACTCAAAGACACTATAATCGATTAATATTTCGTTTCGTGATATTATAGATCGGAAAATGTATTCTGAACGACCAAAAGATAAGGGAAAAGGCTAAATAAAGGACCTAAAATCTATCATCGTAGATCGAAAAGCGTATCCTAAACGACGTAAAGAGAAGGGAAGGGGTTAAATAAAGGACTTAAAATTTTTCATCGAACGTGAATCTAAATTAGTCGAGCCAGTCGGGGATTAGGGGTATAAAAGGAAATTCAAAATAACATCATACATATATACACCTCTTGCCTCATGCTTTTGCCGCGTAGACATGAAATGTCATCAAAATTGCTTTTTTCTTTCTTTCTTCTTTAGGTATTGATAGTAACCACTAACCAGTCTTCTTCTACTCTTCTCTAAGCTCAAAAAATCATCAAAATTACAAGAATTTTACTGAAGCAAAATCCCAATTCTTCTATATATAGAAGGAACACTGAGCAGCAGTTTCACTTCTTCTCTATCTTCACTTGCATTTGTTCAGTTTGGTTCACCGCTAACAGGTACAGCCCCTTTTAGTTTTTTTTTTTTGGGTTTACTTTTCGAATTTCTTTATGTATGGAATGTGATTCTACTTTTTGGCGAGTTGGATGTCTTTTTTTCCATGTTTTTATTCTGTTTTTTTTAAGTATATATGGATAATTTTTAGTAGAATCTGATGCTCCAATTATTTTTGATTCCGATAATTTGGGGATTTCAAGTTGTTGTTTCCAGCTAGAGATCGTGAGGAGCGAGTTTTATTGGTTGTTTTGAGGTTTCAGTTGGGTAATCTTTCATTTCTGATTTTGGGTTTCTTTGGGATTTGATGCTTGTGAGAAATACTTGGATTTGGTAAGTAATTGATGTTTGAATTTTAGTATAGTGTTAGATTATGACTTGGGTTTTGTTGGGTTTTTCTTCTTGTTGTGTGAGGTATTGGGTTTGTAACAGATATTATGTATTGGTATTTGTTTGTTGCATATGGTTTAGGTGTTGTGGCGGGTTTGAATTTGAAGAGAAATTGATAAACAGAATTGGATGTCTAGATTTGAGTTTGTTTACTTGTTGTGTTTTTGCAGGTGAAGAGTTTAGGGTGTTCTTTTGTTTGATTGGATGAGGAAGGTTTCGAAGAGGGGTGCATGTAAGTCTGCATCACACCAGCTCTTCAAGGACAGGGCAAAGAACCGTGTGGATGATCTGCAGGGTGTGTTAACTAATTTACAATCTGCAAGGAAGGAAAGCCGAACGTATGATGTTGGGTTGCTTGAAGAGCAAGTCCACCAGATGCTGCGTGAATGGAAATCTGAGCTTAATGAGCCATCCCCAGCTTCTTCTTTGCAGGCAAGAACAAATATTTACGTCCCTTTTAGCTCCGACCGCACTTAGAGGTTTTATCTTTTGTACCTGTCCGTGGTGGGTGCACTGCAAAGAAAAAAATGCATGTTGGTGTGTCTTCTTATATGTAAGCTTGTGTTTTAATGGTATCGCGTCTTGAAGCATGCTTGAGACACATGCACATAGAAAGTTTTGGCATATAGCGAGTGCGGATCAATTCCACTATGTTAGTCAAAAGACAGTATTATGAATATTGTAGGCTGTGTGAATTTATGTTTCCTATATCCTTTATGTTGGTTTTGTTTATTTACGTGGTATTTTTATAAGTATGTTTCTGTATTCGATTATTGGTGGCATGTTTCCGTCTTCGGGTATTGGTGGCATAGAGCCAGTGTGTTTTTCATAATGGCTGCCTTTTCAGGGAGGAAGCCGTGTGTCATCATCAGCAGATATCTATAGACTGCTATTGGGAGAGGAAGAAGATGATGCCACCAGTGCATTAGCTGCACCTAAGCCTGAGCCCGATGCTCAAAAAGTTAGCATTACCGGTTTTCAAGAGGTATGCATTGTACTTGTAATTTCATCTTCTGCAATTGCTGGACTCTTCTGATTGGTATGATGACAGAGTGATCTTTCTATAGATTAGCTTGTGACTTGATTGATATTTGATGTTTAGACCTGGTAATTACAAGGAGGTTGCTGCTTCTCCTTGGGAAACCTTTCACAATTGATAAAATTTTTATGTCTTAAATAGATGGGAAGATCATTTCTAGTCCACGTTGGATCAATATCAATAAGAATAGCAGTCGTATATGTATAGGTATCTCTAATCAAATTTAAGCTTCATCTTATTGGTTTCTCTATCAGATAGCTATTACATTAGTATTTCTTCCACCACTATTAATGCTTGGAGGAAGTCACATTTGACATATTGTTAATGCCCGATTGAACAACATAGAATAAAAGTGTGAGTATCATTTGAACTAATCTAAAATGGAGTGCTATGTACACTTTGGCCTTTTAGGAAGAAAGTGATGGTCTAATTTGGTTTGAAGTTCATGTCTGTTGTGGCTGCTATCTTGCTTGAAGTTTTCCTTAACCATTATCCTACAGCATGTTTCTCTTTGTAGATTTCCTTTGTTTTGATTGATTTCTAACAAGTGAAGATTCAACCTTTTGCAATCTTTTGTTTTTCAGCTGGTTTAGGATGCCTGTTTAAGTGATCAATTAATTCTTACCTGTTAAGCAATTTGTTTGCTGTAGGGTTTCAATGTAACTCAGGTGCTGCAGGAGCAAGGTTTCCAGTTGGTTGATCAATGCAAAGGCTTGCCTTTAATGGTTAATAACACAGGAGTCAACAATCTTGGCATTGCAACACAATTGGATTACCATTCTTTTGATTTGCATCGCGAATACGATCAGCAGTACCTACCTGGATTTGATGCGTTAAATCTCTGCCTAGAGGATGCTATGCCTCCTATTCATATTAGTCCTCCACCCTCTGCTTTCCTGGGGCCGAAATGTGCACTTTGGGATTGTCCTCGGCCTGCAATGGGGTCAGACTGGTGTCAGAAGTCTCAAGACTACTGCAGCGACTATCATGCTTCTCTTGCACCTAATGAAGGCTATCCTGGGAGGCCTCCAGTTGTTAGGCCAATGGGTATTGGCTTAAAGGATAATTTGCTTTTTCAAGCTCTTGGTGCAAAAGCACATGGAAAAGAAGTTGGTGTTCCCGAGTGTGAGGGTGCTGCCACGGCAAAGTCTCCTTGGAATGCACCTGGTGAGAGTTCTGGGGCATATCTCTACTTCTGATTGCTGAGATTTTTTGTATATTTAGTTCTACACATTTACTTGTACAGTCTAATATCCGCTGGTTTGTTTATGCTTCTGCAGAGCTATTTGATCTTAAAGTTGTTGAAGGTGAAGTAATTAGAGAGTGGCTTTTCTTTGATAAGCCTCGAAGAGCATTTGAAAGTGGAAACAGGAAGCAGAGGTCATTGCCAGACTATAATGGACGGGGTTGGCACGAGTCAAGGAAGCAAATGATGAATGAATTTGGTGGGTTGAAGAGATCCTACTACATGGATCCCCAACCGATGAAAAATCTAGAATGGCATCTTTACGAGTATGAGATCAACAAGTATGATGCATGTGCCTTGTACAGATTGGAACTGAAACTTGTTGATGGGAAAAAGATCCCCAAAGGTAAGATAAGCAATGTATCAGTTGCTGATCTGCAAAAGCAAATGGGAAGACTAACTGCTGAATTTCCTTTGGACAACAAACGAACTGTGAAAGGCAGAGTGAAGGCCAATATGAAGAATATGGGAAACATTCATGCTGCTCCGGTTCCAATTGTTCCGATTGGTGAAGGATTTGATTATGGGAATACCGACCCTTATGACTATCTTCTAGACGATCTGGATGGCTACTTCATAACGTAATTCTATACATTCGATGATACTCCTTTCAAATTCACCTTTGTATTATACAGCAGTTTCGTCTTGAGACTCAAAAACATCTGGTGGTAGAAGTGTTACCCTGGCTCTGTTTATTCATCAGTCGGGGTCAACCAGATGTTTCCCATTTCCGCGGGCTTATGGTCAATGCTTCATTGTCATGTGAGACGCGGTCCTATCTAACTGTGGAGCACACTTAACTGTACTTGTTCCCAATCTACATACTTAAGAACCAGATTGACACTAAATGTATTTATGTTGTAGTGTCGAATTTGGTGACCAAATGTTATGGTCATTTTCTTCAACATCTGCTGCTTTCTATGTGTAATGGGGTTCCATTACTATGATTTAATAAATTTTTTTGGTAATATTTGTGTTAACTATGTTCAGGTGGGCCTACACCTCAAAATGGGAGAGATATGCTATTTTTTAACATTGACAACTCTGATAAGCTTTGTTGTGTATAGGGGTGTGCCACGGTTTATCGGTTTTCAATTTTTAAATATACTAAAATTAAAACATAATCTTTTATCGATTTTTGATTTATTTTTTATTAAAATGCATATATATGATTTCGTATTTCTCTAACAATTTGACACGATACAATGGCAAATCATCTATAAATGTTTTGATATAGCGAAACAAGAAATATAATGAGAACTTGCATCAATAAAAATAGATGTAGTGTAAAGGCTACAATAACATGTTACAATCAAA